TTAAAGTATCTTGCAAAATATAAAATAAATTCAAATGAAAACTTACTTTTGACTTCGGTTCGAAAATAAGACCGTTGTCTAAAGCGAACGTTACTTTTTTCACGAGCTCTTGACGTATACCGTCTTCTAGGAGACGATGAGAATCGACTCTTAACACTCCTAATGGAACGCTTCTTAGTGATAGTACGCCTTTTGTAAATACTGATACAGCGTATGTCAATTTAGCCATCTTACAAAATTGTATTTAAATCTTGATTAATATCTTATAAATATTTGTTTATGAGCATGAATACGTTTGAGAATATATGGATGTATACACATACTTTTAATCTATCATCTAACTGCGCATAATCTTTCAGTTTATCTTTTGGCAGCTTAGTAGGAATTTCTTTGAAAGAATTAGTTTCTAGATGTACTATTTGAGCAAGTAAACCAAACACCGTTTCGGGTATTATTTGCAACACGCGTCTAGCATACTTCTCCAATTCTCTGCTATAATATTGCGATACCGACGCTAAATCTGCACTGCGCGCTTGATTCACTCTTAATAAAGGAGTTTCTAAAGCTGAAGCCATCTGAAAATAAATCGAGTATGTAAGTACTCAATTAGAGCATACTTTACTCTCGTATTATGAACGGAATTGAGAAAATAAAACTTTACTTTTAGGAAGAGTGCTTTCAACTTTATTACATTGGGAGGACTTTCTTTTATACTAGTTTGCATCGCTTCGATGAACGATTCCATTATATTCCACGCGTAACAACAATCAGTTACTATATTTAAACTTATCATGGTATCTTCTGTTATACTCCCTGTGCGTAGCATGTTATGCAATATTTCACGTGTATCCGCTAAATATTGCGATATATGCAAATTATTTTCCAACTGATGAAATTCTGAAATTATTTCGATTTCAATATGTACTTTGTACGTATAAAATGTCAATAAAATAACCGTGATTTCTTTTATTATATTTACCCTGTACTTCTTCTAATGCCTGTAACAATTGTACTATTTTCCTTGCATCCTCTTGTTGCAACGAGTCTATATGTTTGCTTATCTCTATGAACCAGGAATGTAAATTTTGATTTCTTTCAACGCCGTCAAGCGATTTACTGCCACCGAATATTTGAGCAAGATCTGTTATGCGTTCAACACACGTTTGCTTAGCCCTAAGCCAATTTGTTTCTTTACCACATAATAACTACAAATTAAAAGAATAAAGTAATAGAACATTTTTAGATTTTTTATGTTTTGAAAGGTAAAATTAATCGTACGTCTTTGTACAATTGTTTGACTCTTTGCTCGATCTGGGCGGTACTTAGTAACAATTGAAGGCAATCAGACGTGGTGTATTTGCTCTCGGTCACTACTAGTTGTTTGAGCATACGCGAACGTTTCGAATCTTCTAATGATATGGTTGGCGTTGCTGTGTGTAAAAGTATCCAATGTAATGTCACGTTACATTCTTTCACTAATTTTACCAGAGATCCTATTGCACTTTCATCTGAAGTCACTGTCAGCTGCACTTCTTCTGTCTCAGAAATCAGTTTCTAAAATGAAAGTTTAGACAATATGTATATATGTATCTACATAAATCCTGTTACAATGAAATATTTGAGAAATTTATTTACCTTCATCTTTTTCCCATATTTCTGTGCAATAACTTTTACGTTTGACGATTCCAAACTGTTATTAAGAGCTATTCGCGCCGCTTTATATGGTGACCACCAATCGCATAAATTTATTACTATACCCATATAAATACTAATGACCCAGTTATCAGGGAAAAATCTATCTACAATTTCTCTCATCGTAGCAGTGTGGGATTGTAACATAAATGGTTTAAATGACAAAATTACGACTAACATTGACGCTTGATTAGATAAAGCAGTACTACGATGTTTCGGGTGTGGATAAGCGAGACTCTGATTATATATCTCATCCGATCGTAAACGTCCAATAATATGTTCAATCATGGAATCGTTCAATGGGACTCGTCTGTAATATCAGTTTTATTTTTATATGCGATTAAAAATTGATGATACGAATTAAATTAACGTAACTTACTTAAAATAGTCTTCAGGATAATTGGGAGGCCGATAATTAGAAGTTTTGGAGAATCCTGTTGAGCGCAATAACATGCATATATCATCTACTTTTGTGAAAGGTGAACGTTGAGTATTGTATCGATAATAAGATACAAGCAATCTCTCTCTTATAGGTCCATCAAAATGATAATCTACCAAAAGTAACATGACTCCATATAGATACACCATCTCGCACTGTTAAGATGAAACAATTAAAATTTGTAGAACATCTTTAATTGTAAAAGGAATGTTCATAAAGAGAAGAATACCATTAATTGTCTTCCTTCTTCATTAAGCATTATAGTATCTATAGATTGGTGTATATACATCCCATCTCCTAATTCGTCTACAAAGAAATTCAAATCTGTTACATATTTGTGTATACTTTCAAAAGCTAAGTAGAACCTTGAGATTATGTCAGAAAAATTATTTCGTAGCTCTTCATCCGTTTCTTGGAGTACCTAGAAGAATCCAAATAATTTCATATCTGATTAATATAAAAAGAGAGAAAAATAGATTATTTGAATAGAATTCTATTATTGTCAATGTACTTACAGGATCATTTTCTATTTTTTGCTCATAAGTATTAGCTGATTTAAAATAAGCAAAATCAATTATAATTGATCCATACTTTTGGACAATCTTTTTCGAATTTAGGCTGTAAAATAAAAAGTACAATTTAATTTTGATTTTAAAAACATAGTGTCATTTTTAGTTTGAATAATGTTAATAACTGAATATAGAAAATATTGATATGTTAAAACTGTCGAGCGGAAATAAGAACGATTGTTTCAATATAATATTACTTTATAAATAACGATTTCATAATAATTCGCAAGTATGTAAATAACCTAAAGACAGGTGGCACATAGTCCTTTAATCTCATCAATTCGGCTACAATAGCATTTCCACGGGATACAAGCCGCAATAAATTTTGTCCACAAACATTATTCGCTGCTAAGAAATCACCCATTTCGCGTTTATTTCTTTATTTTAATAAATGCTTTTCGATCCCGAATCTCAAGACCCCGGTGTCCATTTGTATTTTGTATCGTATCGCCTTTGCGTATCATCAGTGTATCATCTAATGATACGGTTGGATACGGTGTCTAGTATTACGATAATGTCGAAGAGAATAATGTACCCTACATTGTAAATAACGCATGTTCAGTTAGTTGTAATAAAATGAATTATGGGTCATAAAATGAGGTGATAGAAAAGTTGGAAGCATTAGTCAAAAGTGAAAAATATAACAAACTCTATCGACAGCATAACAAAGCGTGTACAGTTACACAATAATAATGATGCTCCTGAATACTTTGTCTTGTAGATGTATATCAAATTCCATTCACAAATTACGAATTGTTTATCAATCATTAGCAAAAAATGCTAAATATAGAAAACCTGTGATCTATCAATCTTTTCATTCTTCACAGAAATGTACGTTTAAAGTAAAACATGCAGTAAGGTAACACAGTTTTATTTGATAATTAATAAAAGAATACTTTGCTTTTAAATAATTTCCTATAAGATATGTGTGTATATACAGATTTAGTAGTGAGGAATTTGTAGCTGAGGCAAACATAAACACAAAAGTAAAAAATAATGTAATATTATATAAAAATGAAAGGACACGTGATTTCATGATGTTAAAAGTAGTTTTCTATGGATGGCTGTTCGTGGTTGGTCTAATGGGAGCTGCTTCTTATGATCCTAGATATATTAAGACATGGTCTAATTATTCAAACTGGTCTGATTATTTAAGAGCTAATGGATCAGGTTTATTATACTTTGGATATGCTGTTCTAGTAGGTAATATAAAATATGAAACGAATTTAACATTTGAACATAATTTCAAAGCTTTTACACATAATATTTATTTTAATATTTACAGGACCTTGCAGTAAGGTAACACAGTTTTATTTGATAATTAATAAAAGAATACTTTGCTTTTAAATAATTTCCTATAAGATATGTGTGTATATACAGATTTAGTAGTGAGGAATTTGTAGCTGAGGCAAACATAAACACAAAAGTAAAAAATAATGTAATATTATATAAAAATGAAAGGACACGTGATTTCATGATGTTAAAAGTAGTTTTCTATGGATGGCTGTTCGTGGTTGGTCTAATGGGAGCTGCTTCTTATGATCCTAGATATATTAAGACATGGTCTAATTATTCAAACTGGTCTGATTATTTAAGAGCTAATGGATCAGGTTTATTATACTTTGGATATGCTGTTCTAGTAGGTAATATAAAATATGAAACGAATTTAACATTTGAACATAATTTCAAAGCTTTTACACATAATATTTATTTTAATATTTACAGGACCCTTGGCCTGTGTTTTACTATACACTTTGAATGAAAGGATTATAAGATACATCATCTTACACAAAGGTGGTAATAAAATAACTGTCATCACTAATCATTTATTTAAAAGCAGTCACAGTTTGACTATTCCTGCTGGTGAGGTATGTTTTCACTGAAATTTAATATTGATTTTTATATTTTTTAAATCTTGTATGTTTCTTAAGGTGCAATCTACTTTATCGAGGGAAAATATGAAAAATTACTTACCAATCAAAATCAAAGGCAGAAGCTTTTATTTTATTCTTGATGGTCAAGGAAAGTTTTTAAACGCAAAATTATTTGATCATACTGTTGCATGTAGAAAAATGTGGAGGAAGTAAAATATATCTTATATTTGTTACAGATTATTTATTCTAAATAAATATTTAATTGTAACATGATTAATGGATATGTCTTACGTTTTTTTACTGCATCAGACACAACTGTAAACATTGTGTCATGTACTTTGATACCATGTATATAAAGTAATATACAATACATATAAAAATAGTCATTATTTTAAACAAAATATAGTTCCATGAACTATATTGCCAACACGTGTTAATCTATAGTTAGTATATATAATATACATTTCTTTGTTTTAATATCTCTGTCTATCGTATGATTTATGAGAATATTTGCTCATTCGATCACTGTATCCGTCGTCGTGATATTTATCTTCTGCTTTATAGTATACCTCAGGCGCTGAGCCTACGTGTCCCTGCCAGTATCGTGTCCAATATAGATCCTCGGGATTAATGTCATGCGGATGTTTTGCATTTCTAAACACATGTACACAGTATATGAGACTTCCTAACAGTGTTAGGAATCCAAACACAAGAAACACTATTCCCAAGATCCTACGAAAACAACAAAATTTTCTTTATATGATGCACTTGTAAATTCATGATACGGCATGTGCAAGGTGTACTCACCAAACTATCAAGGGTTGAAAAAATTGTATCACTATAACAAACCCTAATGCGACAAGGATTAAACCAAGATTAAGTAACAGCATAAGGCAGCAGACTCCTTTAGTATTTGGACAAAAAGGATTAGGTGTGGACATCGTTTCTATGATAATACCATCTTTTCTAGATGTTTGGGACTTTACAGATTTCGCGGAACCGTAACTGTAATGACTAGGCGTACGATGACCTAATCTTGAACTGGGGTGCGACACGTGGCTGGTAAATTGAAAAATAGAGAATTTTATAGTATGATTTTATAGTATGACAGAGATAAGAAATGTCATACTCTTATGTTTTCAACCTTATATCAGAAGTTGTTCTGTACGCAGCGCTCGTAATGTATATATCTGAACCATTGTCACATATGCTACCATGCGAATTACTTTTGCTAAGGGGATGAAGACTATGTCTTGATGAACCAGATAATACCGATCCACGACTATTGTGTACATTTCGGGAATGTCGTCCTTCTTCTTTCTCATATTTTTCCGGATGGTCCTTCTTCGATTTCACCTAAGTAATTTACGTCGTATTAGTTACATATATTGCAATTTAATAGTGAAATTACATGCGTTACAAATTACCATTGTCGTGTGGTCAGCGGATACAATGTATTCAGATACTGTACGATCTGATGGAGCACGGTGACTCTCGTCCCCATCTGTCAAATATTCTCTACTTCTACTTATATTACTATGATATCCTAAGTACCTTGAATTGTTTGTCATTGCGATAAGTATATTTGCACTGTTTGTTTAATAGGTATGAAATAATCTGTTTTAAAATTCCAGTACATAATTATACAGTGCACTAAATCTTAAATTAATTTTATGCATTTCCAAAATATAAAATTTAAACAAAACTTACTTATTATAAATAATGAGAGAGAGAGAGAGATTTCAACTTTACAGAGTTACATGTTACTTGATAGCATCACCTGCAAAAATCATGTAATATAATAAATGCCGCTGTTGGATATATTCCTCATTTAATACATATTTAAGTAATAAACTATTGTATGTAGATGTGTGATATAATGAATATTTTAAAGCGATGCGGAGGCAGAAAATTAGGAGTGTCCATTTTCACAAATGAATTGTAAAGCAATTAATTATTAGAGTCCTTCAATCCTACGTTATATGTGACATCGTCAACATGTATGCCGCAGGTAACAGAAGTCCTAATTTAGTAACGTGATGTCATTTGTCAAGGCTGTATGCATCTTCGATCTATAGCAAGATCATTTCGAATGCATTCCACAATTTTTTGTCAACATATTTTTTATTCTCATTTTT